ATTTCTTTTTCAAGTCATTAGATTTAAAAAAAAAAAGATTGATTTTCTGGCTTATCAATTCCATTAATGGGAGGACTAAATTGGTCTCAAAAATTGAAATTTGAGGATTTTTTTGGAACTGGATTTGGTTCAAAAATAAAAGTTGATGGATCAAATTGGGTATTTAACCTTTTAAAAAACTAGCCTGTATGAGAAAGTGGTAGCCTATTTCCTATATTACAATTTGGTCATAACTCTTTGTTACAAAAATTTTCCTTCCTTATCATTGGCTACTTGCTTTTAACCAAGATTTATGGTGATATATTTTTTTTCTCATGTTCCATGATGAACTAGATTAAGAATAACTTTTTCAATCCTTTTATGCTTGATTTTCTTTATTATGAATTTGAGCTTTGTTTCCTTTTCTAAGTTACGGACAAAAGGCTGATACTAGTACAAAGAAGAAAGTCTACGTAGTTAATGGTTTCTGCTTTGGGTTTCTTCTAGTTTTTCATGACTGCAACATTGAAGGGTTAACTTAGTGATTTCAATTGCCTTTTCTCGTTACATTCCTTGCTTTTCATTAGTTTTTCTGATAGCATATGCCCAGCTTCCAAAGGTATATGCCTCTTGTCATTTCTTTTTTTATTTCTTTTCTGTTGGTCATGTACATCTTTATCTTTAGGCTGACCTTGATTCTTTTCTTTCATGATCTGTTCAAGCATGGTAATACCAAATGCATATACATCATCCCTTGCATGAGCTAGTTCAAAAGCAACAGCTTGGTTATGTTGGGAATATAACATGCCTACACTTGTTAGGTAAAAATATTATTTTGTTTGAAGAAACTCATGGATAGGATTAATGATGAATGTATGTACTTGAAACATTATGAATTTAGGCGTGATAAAAAAAAGTAACCAATTAGTACTTGAAACATTATGAATTTAGGTGTGATAAAAAAAAGTAACCAATTAATATTTGTTCTGTTCACTAGATATCAATTTCGTAAAAAATTTAAGTGTTATCATCAAGCAAGCTTGAGGCTAATCTTTTGAAAAAGTTGTATTATCAGCAAAATAAAAAAAAAAAAATTGTTCATAAACTCATAATTTGGTTAAAAAACTGAACTTTGTCCTTTATACTAAATATTAAAGATTTGGTTACCTCTTGAATGTCTAGTCTTTTTGGGTCATTCATATACTTACTAGTAACCTTCACTGGTTCAGCAACATGAGCTGCTGAATCGAAGTCTACTACTTTGACATTGAGATCACTGTTTACAAGCTTTTAATATGGCTAAATTAATATTTTATCTTTTAAGATTTGATGGTTGATGGGCTAGCAGAAATGAGCCAGGAAAATCTAGAGGATATGCTTGATGCCATAGAGTTAGGATCTGATGACTTTGGAGTCGTAAAAGCAGTCACGAGATGTTAACAAGAGAAAATCAATATAGTGAGTATTGTCTAAATATGTTTATAATAATATAATATGGGGTTAAAAAGTGTTTTAACTCATTTATGACATCTTGCTGGAAAAAAAAAAAAGAAGAAGCAATATCTAGATTCTAGTCATAATAATTTGAAGCTCTGAAAATATGATAGAGCTAAAAGTATACGAGGAAAAGAAGGATTTGATATGAATGGAGGAAAGATAGACCACAAGCTAAGGTTAGTCTATGAGTTTATGTCTTCTATAATAATGGATAAACTTGAAGGTAAATACAAATTAATTTTAATTTCATTAAGCAAATAGGAAGATTTTCTTTCTTTCTTTTTCTTATAGGATTGACAAATCACTTTTCTTCTCATTTTTATATAATCACTGATTACAAGCCATTAATATGGCTACAGGATATATCCTAGGGATGCAACAGTAGAGATAGGAATTAAATCACATACTAAACTCATACTATTCTAAATATATTAGACAATACTCACTGTATTGGTCTTCTGCATGTCATTATAAGTGCTTGCTTGTACCATTGTATCCGGGGAATGGCACAAGCAAACACTTACATCACATGACCATTGCCATTAAAGTTGGAGATGCTTTAAGAGATACTAACAAAGAAGGCTAATATACATTGAGTATTGTCTAGTAGGTTTAGAATAATACGAGGTTAACATGTGTTTCAATTCATTTATGTCATCTTGCAAAAAGGAGTAATATCTAGATTCTAGTCATATGAATTTGAAACATGAAAACATGATAAAACTAAAAGGATATGGGGAAAAGAAGGATTTTGATATGAACAAACAAAAGATAGACCACATCCTGTGGTTAGTCTATGAGTTTATGCTTTCTACAATAATGGATGAGCTTGAAGGTAAATATAAATTAATTTTAATCTCATTAAGCAAACAAGAAGATTAACTTTCTTTCATTTTCTTATGGAGTTAACTTGGAACTAGACACATGAGATCTTAGTACATATAGGTAGGTAGCTGTGCATAATGACATTAAACCAGAAAATATATATATTGATTGATAATGTAATATGATTTTCAATTTTTTTTAATTGAAAATCATATTACATTATCAATCAAGATATTTTTTTGATTTATATCTTTATACACAACTTCCTTTTTGTGTATGTAGCCAACAGCTTGGTTGTTTGTAACATGTATGGTTCAAAGTCAATCCTATAGGAAAAAGAAAGAAGGAAAAATTTTCTCTTTACTTAATGAAATTAAAATTAATTTGTATTTACCTTTAAGTTTATTTATTATTGTAGAAGACATAAACTCATAGACCATAGCTTCAAATTAACATGACTAGAATCTAGATTTTTTTTTTCTCGGTAAGATGTAATAAACGAGTTAAAACACATTTTAACCTCATATTATATTATTATAAATATATTTAGACAATACTCACTATATTGGTCTTCTCTGTTAATATCTCATGACTGCTTTTACCACTCCAAAGCCACCAGATCCTAACTCTATGGGATTGGGCATATCCTCTAGATTTTCTCAGTTTATTTCTGCGGGCCCATCAGCCATCAAATCTTAAAAGATAAAATATTAATTTAGCCATATTAAAAGCTTGTAAATAGTGATCTCAATGTCAAAGTAGCAGACTTTGATTCAGCAGCTTGTGTTGCTAAACGAGTGATGGTTACTAGTAAGCATATGAATGGCCAAAAAGACTAGACATTCAAGAAATAACCAAATCTTTAATATTTAGTATGAAAAACAAAGTTCGGTCTGTTAACCAAATTATGACCACACTTAAGTACTAACCATATTTTGATAGGAGCGACTTTTTTTTTATTTTTTGCTTATAATACAACTCTTTCAAAAGATTAGCCTCAATCTTGCTGGATGGTAACACTTAAATTTTTTGAGAAATTGATATCTAGTGAGCAAAACAAATATTAATTAGTTATTTTTTTTTATCAGGTCTAAATTTATAATGTTTCAAGTACATACATACATTCATCTGTATGAAAATAAAAGGGAGTGTTAATCCTATCCACGAGTTTTTTCAAACAAGAAGTAGAATCATTGGTTATATTTTGGTTCTAGCATAGTATTTCTGTTAGTACTGCATATATAAGAAAAAACTCTCATGACAAAACAATTTTTTAATATTCCCAATATAACCAAGTTGTTACTTTTAAACTGGCTAATGCAAGGGATGATGTATATGCATTCGGTATTACCATTCTCAAATAGCGCATGAAAGAAAAGGATCCAGGGCAGCCTAAAGATAAAGAAAAGAAATGACAAGAGGCATATACCTTTGGAAGCTGGGCATATGTTATCAGAAAAATTAATGGAAAGCAAGGAGTGTAATGAGGAGAGGCAATTGAAATCACTAAGTTGGCCCTTCAATGCTGCAGTCAGCAACCCCCAGACATGAATGAAATGATTGGAAAGCTAGAAAAAATGAAAGGAGCTACAGTGAATTAGAAGAAACTCAAGGCAGAAACCATTAACTATTTGGTAATATAAAGACCAAAACGGGAACTGTCTTTGAAATCAAATTGATATCTAGAGTTTCTTCTTTGTCCTAGTATCAGCCTTTTATCTGTAACTTAGAATGGTAAACAAAGCTCAAATTCAAAGCAAAGAAAATCAAGCATAAAAGGATTGAAAAAGTTATCTTAATCTAGTTTATCATGGGAAAAAAATGTCACCATAAATCTTACTTAAAAACAAGGAGCCAATGACAAGCAGACATTTTAGAGATTTAGAGGAAAAATTTTTGTAACAAACAGCTATGACCAAATTGTAATATAGGAAATAGGCTACTACTCGATATTTCTCCAAAAGGCTAGTTTTTAAAAGGTAAATACTCAATTTGATACATGAAGGCTTATTTTTTAACCAAATTCAGTACCAAGAATATACTTAAACTTCAATTTTTGGCATCAATTTCCTCCTTCCGTTAATGGAATTGACAACTTGCCAGAAAACCAATCTTTTTTAAAAAAATACCATGACTTGAAAAAGAAATCAAACTTTCTTTAATGAGTTGGCAATTTTTTTCCACATCAGTGAAGTAAAAATAATAATAAAAGATCATCTTCATCTCTCCCTTTCCTTTCACCTTGCTCATCCATCAATCCAGGTTATTGGCTATCTATACAATCAAGATAAATATCATCAATTCAAAAAGATAGAAGATCACCTAAAATCATAAATTCAAAAAAAAAAAAAAAAGAACAAACCTATGAATTTAACCCTCAAATTCTTTCCGTTAACACAAAATTAAAAGCCAATTTCCAAGATCTTCCAAACAATTAACCATTTTTTATTCTTTACACTAAAATGCATTTATGGTACATGATCATGTAAAACATAAAATATTAGCCCGTTAGCCATCAAAAGGAAAAAGAATGGTATTTTACAAAAATTTAAAAGCTTGATATCTATTACACTAACAACTTGTTGGTTTGAATGAATAGAAAGAATTCAATTATTTTTTTTAAACAAAATCTTGAGTTTGAGTCTTATGAATGAACAAACAAGTGTTGGGAGAGTTTTTTCCTTAATGGGGTTCTCTCTTAATGGGGTCTGCCATGATTTAATTTCAAATTAATAGGAACCTAATGTTGTTATTAGATACTGGAACGTTAGTACAAAAAAAAAAAAGTTTGATATCTATTACATGAAATGAAAATGTTAAGTGAATACACAAACTAATTTGGCTATTGGAATGATGAAAAACAACTTAAATCTACTAAAAATTGTGTTGAAAATCAAATTTGCAAGTTAAAGTGAGTAATTGTTGGAAAATTAAAAGTTTGAAAATTTGTCAAATTGTGTGTAGAGTTGGTCATGTGTTGAATAATAAAAAAATTTTCTTTTTGTTTTCCTTTTTCTCACCTGCAACTCTTTATTCCATGTAGTTACTTGAACATGGGCAGTTTCTTGAAGAAGTTGGATGTCTAAGCAGTTGATTGAGTCAGAATTCTATTTAGATTTCACCATTTGTCCTGTTATTAGTCAGCTCACATCCTTAACTAAAATCAACTCCTAAAAATCAACCAAAAACAATCCCAATGTGATTCAAATAAGCAATCAAAAGATAAAATCTCATCTTTTCGGCTCTTTCTTTCCCATGTAGCATTTGATATGTCATGAGACCTAAAATTGTATATTTGACATGGTTAAATCACCTTCATTCATTTAAAAATATTTGACACGTAACATAATCTTAAATTTTTGTAATTTTTGGTGTAAACACTTGTACCTCTGTGAGACTCTTGGTGTAGTGCTTCAATTCAACCTAGGTATCAAATATAATTTCAATCTTATAAATTTAACATTCACAATCCCATCACTATTTTTTCGCAAGATACAAGACATAAAAGGCATGTAATAAGATATAAGAGATTATTCATTGATGAGAAAGAGACATCATGAGGTGATTTTGAATTGTTGAATGTCAACAAAGATAAAGTAGAATCTACGAATTGTGATTTGCTTAAAAATAAGGGAAACTATATACAGTTTTCCAACCCATGTTATCTTCACATATGGACAATGAGTAGGATCCAAATTTTAAAGCATTTGATGCAGTCAAAATTACGGAGTTACTCATGTCATGTATGGATATTGATTACTTAAAGTGTGCTTTGAGTGAGAAGATTGTTGAGGAATTTGATAAACTAAAGGTTATGCAAAAACACCTTGAGACTTTGGGTGTTAAGCAAAGTGTGGATATGTTGAGGTGTTCAAGTCATTGTGAGGCTTTGAAAATTATGGAAAAGGGAGCATCCAATTATGAAATAAAGGTTCTTAAATATGAATTATCATAATCATAGGGTTCCACCTATAAAGTCACTAATGGTTAGATTAGTATGCACTATTTCTGGCTATCAACTCAATAGGTAACATATCTCTTGAGTGACTCATACCACCTATAAAATCACTAATGGTGATATTAGTACGCACTAAATCCTTGAGGGACTTGCCTTTTTTTGTAGAGCATGTAAGTTGGAAGCACATTGGCTACAGCCCCATTATCAACCAAGACATAGTTAGTAGGTGTTCCATCAACATGAGCATGAAAGAAAAGTGGCTTGATGTGTTTGGTCATCTTTTCTTCTAGTTTTTCAAAAATAATTTTGTCCACCAAATCCCCTTCTTCATCACCATAAGCTAGGATTTCAATTACTTCTTCTTCTACTTGATCTAGAAATTCACATAGAGTAGATTCCTCCTACTCCTTAGCCTAGAAAACCAAGGGCAAGGTTGGCTTAGCCAATGTCAAGTTCCCTAGGATGGTCAAACCACCACTCAGACCTCTTACCAAACATTGGGAAAAAGTCAATCATCTAAAGTTTCTAGTTCAGAACCTCAAAACCTTGAGACACAAATTACAATGCAAGTGAATTGAGGATTGCAAATGAAAACTAGTAGAAGCTAAGGCATAGAGCAGCTCAACCCGAAGGCCACGCCCACATGCTAGAAGGAATTGGTTGTGGGTGAGATGGTGTAAACAAGTATATTATTGTTGCTTATAGTTCTTTTACTCAAATTCAATCATTCGAAGTATTTAATGTGGGTTGAATTGAATTAGTTTTAAAAGTTAATGGATTTAATTACTATATCTAAACTTGAAGGACTAAAATACAATTTTGATTAAAAAAAAAACTATTTTTTCTCCAATTCTCGACTCAGTCCAGAACAATCTCCAGATACTACCGAAGTGATCGAACCATGGCGGCGTGGACGGCAGCTGCTCGCCAAGCCTCCAATCTTGCTCGACTCTCCTCCCCCAGATCAGCATACACAGCTCCTCAAGCAGCCTCTCTCATCCATCGGCGTGGCCTTGCCGGCGGTGGCGGTAAACCTCCTGAGTCCTGACTGCGTGCCCCATACTTTAGATTCATAGCAGAATTCTCCCATTTTCATAATCTCTTATCATCTTATTTCGTTTAGTTTTAATCATTAAAATGTGAATCAAAGAGTGAAAATTTCATCCATAACATGACGGAATTGTTGATATCCAGTCTATGGTGATTTCACCATATTAAGAAAAATATGAAATTGATTGGGTTACAGTAAACTTTTTCGACAAAATTTAT